AAAAAAAAAAAAAGATTACTCTACCCAGCAAGGCTATCATTTAGAATTGAAGGACAGATAAAGAGCTCCCCAGAAACAAAAAATCTAAAGGCAATTCATCACCACCCAAACAGTATTACAATAAATGTTAAAGGGAGAATAAGAAGAAAGGCCGGGGGAGGAGGAGGAGGAGGAGAGGAGGGGAAGGTGCTGGAGGAGAAAACAAACAAAACTCCTTAAAATATGAATAAAATGGCAATAACTACATACCTATCAATAACTAAATGTAAATGGATTAACTGCTCCAATCAAAAGACACAGGGTGGCTGAATGAATAAGAAAACAAAACCCTTACATATGCTGCCTATAAGAGACCCACTTCAGATCAAAAAACACACAAAGACTGAAAGTAAAGGGATAAAAAAAGATATTCTGTGCGAATGGAAATGAAACAAAAACAACAACAAGCTGGAGTAGCAATACTTACAACAGACAAAATAGACTTTCAAACAAAGGCTATAACAAGGGACAAAAAAGGACCCAGCAATTCCACCTCTAAGTATTTATCCGAAGAAACCCAAAACACTAATTTGGAAAGACATATGCATCCCTATGTTCATGGCAAAATTACTTACAATAGCCAAGAGATGGAAGCAACTTAAGTGTCCATTGGTAGATGAATGGATAAAGATGTACATATGTACAATGGAGTAGCAGTCAGCCATTAAAAGGAGTGAAATCTTCCCATATGGATGGACCTATGCTAAGTGAAATAAATCAGACAGAAACAGGTAAATATTGCATGACTTCACTTATATGTGGCAATCTAAATAACAAATTAAAAGAAGAAACAAAACAGAAACAAACTCAAAGATACAGAGAATTAACTGATGAGACCAAGGCAGCTAGAGATTGCAGCACTGAGTACCAGAGAAGACAGTGCTGCAGAGAACCCAAGATATCTAGAGAGGGTCTCCTTTTAGTATTTAAGAGAGTACCTACTGATGACAGCATGTTAATAAGGCTGGGGAATAATCATTGGAAAGGATTACAGGGGGCAGCACTAAGCACTCACACAGGTAATCTATTTCCATCAGTCAGACTGGAAAACTCAGAATTCATGGGGCATGGGAAAATCTTCCTTAGTACTGTGAAATTGTTCATCCTAGACTGAGCACTCTTCCAGACCTGCCTAATAAATTAGAAAAGCGAGACCCATAAAGATCAAACTATTTCTAAGTTACTTAAACAACTTAGAAAACAAAGCTAAAGAATACTTTTAAGAATACATATCCAGTATCCAACAAGATAAAATTCACAATGTGTCATCTAATCAAAGATTACAAGACATGCAAAGATGACGCATATTGAAGACTTGTATCCAGAATTTAAAAAGAACTCTCAAAACCCAACAATAAGAAAACAAACAACCTAGTTTAAAAAAAACAATGGGCAGCTGGACGCCAGTACTTTAGTTGGTGGTGGGAGGCCATGCTTGCCCAGGCTCCAGATACTCTCCCTGCAGCTCTCCAGCTCCCAAAGCTGCTGCTCTGGGTTGCACGTCTCCTCTGGTGACAGACCCATGGCTGAGCATGGGAAAACTCACCTGACTGACGCCAAACAGAATACCAGAGAGTGGCTGGTCAAGGTTCCTAAATATTTGTCAGAGCAGTGGGCGAAAGCCCCTGGCAGAGGTAAGGTTGGGAAACTGCGGATTGCCAAGAATCAAGGAAGGACCCAGGCATCATTTAATCTGAATGAGGATCTTGAAAATATTCATGATATTGGCGGAAAACCAGCTTTAGTCAGTGCTCCTAGAGAACATCCATTTGTCTTGCAAAGTGTTGAGGACAAACATTAACAGCGTTTACTGAGAGCTCATCGGATAAGCTTTCATTGGAAGGAATAGTGGTACAAACAGCTGAATGCTGACCTGCTGCTAGTGAAAACTACATGAGATTAAAGAGATTGCAAATAGAAGAATCTTCCAAACCTGTAAGGCTATCACAGCAACTAGACAAAGTTGTGACAACCAATTACAAACCTGTGGCCAATCATCAATACAATACTGAATATGAAAGGAGAAAGAAGATGGAAAACAAGCTCAGGCTGATAAATAATATGTTTTAGATATGCTGTTTCAGCTTTTGAGAAACACCAGTATTATAATCTGAAGGACTTGGTGGACATCACCAAACAGCCTGTGATGCACCTGAAGGAAATCTTACAAGAAAGTGGTATTTAAAATGTAAAAGGGATCCACAAAAACACATGGGAGCTGAAGCCAGAGTACAGACATTACCAAGGAGAAGGGAAGAGTGATTAAGAAGATTCTAAGCCAGCGTGCTCACAGAATTACGTTGATATGGGAACTTCAGCGCCATATGTTACAGGGGAAAAATGGCTGATACTTTAATTTTGTAGGCAAATTTTTAAACAATAATTGTAGAAAAGTTACTTAAGTGTTTTTTTGAGGAGAAACAACAAATTTATTTATAGACTTGTATTAAATCAGATTACTGATGATGTGGTTAGGGTTTAGGGGTTAAGAGGTTTTTCTTTTTGAATATTAACTTTTAAAATGTAAAATTAGGAAATGGTTTTTAAATGAAGACCTTGTCCTTGTTTTTATATCTGAGGAGCTGAAGTTATACAAATCCAGTCAATGGCATAGCAAGAAAAACGTAGTTTTTCAGAAGGAATAAAAAGCCAAAGTTCTGGGCTGGCTGAGCAGCGCGATGATTAAGAACTGGCTTGGGACGCCAGAGGGCCCCGGTTCGGATCCCACATGAGGGCCAGTGACACTGCCCTCCACAGCTAAGATGCTGAACAACAGCTCAACCTGGAGCTGGGCTGCCCGTGAGTGGCCGGCGACGGCATAGGCCACAGCGCCTGCTGCAGTGGGTTGCCATGGGCTACCGTATGTAGCCAGCAGCCAGTGTGAGCGGCCAGCAGCCAGTGAGTGGCCAGCAGCCGCAGTGAGCTGCCGTCCAGAAGCCGGTGACTGATCTGCCTCGCCTGGGAAGAGCTCAATGATGGTGCCAGCTTGGGCCAGTGAAGCAACGTCCTCCACAACTAGACTGAAGAACAAAACGACAGCAACTTTGTCTGTTCCTCTTCCCCCAATTCCCCAGCACTGTTCCCATCCCCCCAATTCCCAAATTAAAATCTTAAAAAAAAAAAAAAGCCAAAGTTCCTTATTCTGAAATTGTCAAAAAACAAAGCTGTCGTTTTTTGGGGTTTTTTTAACAGGTGATCATGTTCTATATGCACATGCATTAATAAAAGAAGAGCATTAATGTTTATACTAGAATAGCAGTTTTCATCAATAGTGACATAAGAAATGGAGAAAGCCATGGTCAATTGGTATTTATTTGCTTTTAAAATAATTTGAAATTAAATGCTTTTCCAACAGTTCAAGATATGTCTCCATCATCAAGATTATAAGGCTCTCAAAGACTGACTTTGCCTTAGTACTTTACTGCACACTCAGCAGGCATGGATTGACTGTCACATGACAAACGATAGTGACAAACTAAAGGACAGTTGTGGGGTAAGGCTGCTGCGTATAGACAGAAAGGTTAATGTCAATTCCCAGGGACTGGACATGTTTCTTTTATCTTTCTTTTTAACTAATTTTAAATAAAAGCAATACATGTTTATGGTGGCAAGAGATTTGAACAGACACCTCACCAAAGATGACAAATATGAAAACGAAAAGATGCACAGTACTGTAAGTCTTAAAAAATGCAAATTAATACCACAATGAGATACCACTTCACGCCTATTAAAGTGGTAAATGTTTTTAAAACTGACCATCCAAGTGATGACAAGAATGTGAAAGAGCTAGAACTGTCATACACAACACTGGTGGGAATGTAAAATGGTATAGCCACTTTGGAAAACAGGTTGGCAGTTTTTTAAACCGTTACTCATACACCTACCACAATGTCTCAGTCATACCACTCCTAGATTTACCTAAGAGAAATAAAAGCATATGTACACATAAAAGCTTGCACACAAATATTCATAACAGCTTTATTTGTAACAGCCAAAATTTGGAAACAACCAACATGTCCATCAATAGGTGACTGGATAAATCTACTCACTGAATTATTACTCAGGTATGGAAAAAAATAAAAATTAAACAACAAAAACCTCTTGATACATGTTACATCAATTCACCTCTAAATAATTATGCTGAGTGAAATAAGACTGATAAAAAAGAGTACATATTACATGATTCAGTATCAGATTCTAGGAAATGCAAGTTTATTTATAGTGACAGAGAGCAAATCAATGCTTGCCTGGGGAACGGTAATGGGTAGCATGTGGGGTGGGCAGTGGGAGAGGGATAACAAAGGAGCATGAGGACACTGGACATGATGGTAAGTACACTATCTTGATTGCAGTGCAGTGATGATTTAATCTGGTGCATGATTTAATTTGGATGTCTGACAAGTTTGAGAACTCATCCTAGAAAAAGTGCTACATACATGTACATCAACACTTATCACATTGTACACTCTAAATATGTGTATGTCAAGTATGCCTTGATAGAGCTATTAAAAATATTATGGGTGCTACGTTTTAGAAATTCTGGCTGAATTCATCTTCAAATATTAATCATTAATTCATTATTAATAATTAATTAAATATTAATTACATTTTGGTAAAAATACTTTAGAACTTTATTTTTAAAGTTGCAACAAGGAAACTAAAAGGTATCAACATTACCTTATTGAAAAACAATGTTGTATACACTAAGAACAAGTACAAAGTAAAAACAAAGAATTCTGTCAGTAAATAAAACCTGACATCATTCTCAACAATGAATAAAGCCACTCAGAGTCAATCATTTGGAGTCTGCCAGTCATCTGTCCTATATACTGCTGTGGTTTCCAGGTTTGGGAATCTGAACTGCAGTCTTCAGTGTTCTCCAAGCTCCTCTATCAGAGGCCGAGACCCTCCAGGAGCCCAGGCAGAGGCCAGTGGCTTTTCCTGACTAGCATCAGACCTCTGGAGGCCCAACTTCCTGCACACCCCATCGTTGTTAATATGCAGGGCACTGCTTTCCTCTAGAAAGGGACCTCGCAAGGAATTTACTGTCTTGGATTCACCACCTTTGAGCTCCTCTTGTTCTGAACCTGAGTCTTCAGTCTCAGATGGCAGGGTGCTGTCTGGTTCCTCCAAATCACCTGCCTCAGAACCGGAGGGAAGTGTCTGCTGCCTGGAAGTGGAATGGGCTGCTGTCAATACAGCTTCTTCCTCCTGGACGAGAAGTGCTGCTGCTTCCAGCTCTTCTAGTTCTAACCCCAGCTGGGTCTTTGTCAAGGACACTTCTTTCAAGGCTTCTGCAAGAGCCGCCAACTTTTTGGACCTTGAAAAACATTTTAAGAAGAAATATTAGGACTATTCATTAATTGGTCTGGGGACAACAGGGTACACAGCTTAAAGAAATAACAAAATAAAATTGGATCCATACTTTATGTGACGCACCAGGATAAATCCCAAAACAGATAAAAGATATACAAGTAAATGTAAAAACTGAAGCTGGTAAAGTATTACAAGGAAGCATAGGAGATTTCCTTTATGATACTAGAATGAGGGAGGCTTTCTAACTATGACTCAAAAGCCAGTAGTCACAAAAGAAAAGACTGATAAATTCAACTAAAAAAGCCCAACAACTTCTGTAGGGCAAAAAAGTCATCATGAGTAAAGTCAAAAGGCTAATAATGCAAAATTGAGAAAAATACCCGCAATTTCTATCACAGAGCAAGGCCTAATTTCCCCAAAAGAGTTCTTAGAAATGGATATAACAACCCATCAGAAAAATGGGCAAAAGACATAAGCATACAATTCTCACAAAAGGAAATACAAATGCCTATTAAATATATGAAAACATATTCAACTTCAGTCATATAAGACAAATACAAATTGAAGTCATATTGAGATATATTTTTCATTTATCAAATTGGCAAAAATCCAAACATCTGATAACACTGCTAGCAAGGCTGGGGGGGGGGGAATGCTCCTTTCATACACTGGTGGTAAGAGATTAAATAGAAACAACCCCATATGAAGGAACACTTATCAATAACTTTCAAAAGTGAAAATGAACATACCCTTGATCCAGCAATACCACATCTGGAAAATTAAACACATATGCTACATGACACAGGCCCAAGGTGGTTGTTGTTTTTTGTTTTTATTTTTTGTACTATGGCATTGTTTTTAATACTCAAAAGTGGGAAACAATCAAATGTCCATCAATATGGGACCAACTGAATAATGATGACAAAGGAACAGTCTACAGCTGCATAAGGAATAAAGCATCTCATGAGCTAACCCAGATATATTGTTTATTTTTAAACCTATGTGAACGTAATACCTATTCAAAAGTTTTAAATGTACAAAATAGAAAAAATAAGCAATGTTAGAGAGCAGCAATGTTAAGTACTTTCTATTTTTATCAGAAAACCATTTCATGTAATTTCAGAGGATATTTTTCTAAATTTGTAACATTACATTATATTGAATAAACTTTAACATTAACTTTGATGTAATTGTTTGGTTTTTGTGTTTGAAAGAAGCAACATAAAACATACTGCAGTTCTCCAAAAACTATGTCTTTACTATTCTATAGAGGAAAATCTGATGTGACAACTAAGAAAAGGCAGCAGTGAGTAAAAATGGTCAGCACACTGCCATGGCTTCTACGTGTCCCTAACTCAAAGATTAAATGAGTGTATAAAACAGTTAGTGGCTTTGAGACAAACTGGATAAGAGTGAGTTTACAAGATAAATTCATTTGTAAAAGTGTAATCCATCCCATATTAGGAGAATGAGGCTTTATTTTAATAGAGCTGATGTGAATGGATGCTGTGATGGGAAATACTGAACAAAGATGGTCATTTTCATCTAAGTGTCTACATATATCTAAGACCCTTTTGTTTCAAAGTATTTAGCGTAATAATGACTTTGCACAGGCATGCCACCCCTCTCTACCTCTCCACAAGTGTAATCAGGACCCTGAAGCTTTACTGGAGTCAGTGTCCAAGGGTGGGTGGGAAGTACAGTGGGGTGAATGGGAAAAGGGCAACAGCTATCATTGATGGGCAACTTTCTCTTAAGCGAGGAAAACCCTGAGTTTCAGTGCTGAAATTTCTAGAGCTTAGAAAAGGAAAGGTGGCTAGGATAAAGAGGAAAACTAAGATGAAATCAGGTGAAGTCAGTTAATAATTTCCCAAAGGGCTAAAAACTGGATGAACTCTGGTCAGTCTGAGACATCCTTAAAAGCATAGTTATGGAATAAGATGGTTGCAATATCATTTACATCCATGTTCAAGATAGTTGTCGATGATGTTCACCATATATTTTGAAATCTTGACTACCAGTGATAAAGGATTCAGTCAAAGCTAGTGGGCCAGTTTAAAACAACTCTGCCCCAAGGCTCTGTCAGCCTAGGAACCAGTTCACTGCCATCTTTCTCACTGAAGGAGGTCCTCTCTGTGTAGTGACACACAGCTTTAAGAGATAAAGAGCAATGAACTTGGGAAAAAAGACAATGCCTCTTATTAAATTATAATATTAGAAATAAAAAATTTAAATAAAAGCTTTTACTATAGTAACTACACATCTCACATTTTTAATAGCCATGACAAATCCTTTAGACAATAAATGAAGGACGATGTTTTACAAATATCATTGCACTTGCTCCTAACGACAACCCCATGAAACAGTCTCATTTTATCCCATCACAGATGATGAAACAGAAACTTGGAGGGATTAAGAAAACTGCTGCAGTCCGCCCAGCAAACAGGGGAAATCAAGACTGGACCCCATGCCTCAGAGCTCTAGTGCTCTTCCTACATCACCATAGAGCCTCCCATGAATATCCAGGCTCTGAAAAGTTCCACCTCCTAAGACCACATTCTTCACTCAGTTTGAGGTCTATTCAACATCTTCAAAATGATCAAGTTCTGACTTACACAAGGTCCAGAATTCTCCAAAGAAGCTATGCCAATCTTACCAATCTTAGCTTACAATTTTAGCTTACCAATCTTAAATGAAGCATATACATCTAAGTTTTAACTACAGAGGTTTAGAATAGGAGGGGGAAAATGGATTATTTTGGTGGATATTAGCAAATACTACAGTAGATATGTCAAGACCTCAAGTTAAAACTATTTTGATCTTTATTACTGTCTACTATAAAAATGTTATATCTGTCATTTATAACAGTATAAATTTGGAATTTCAAACTTACCTGTAATCCTGGCTCTCTTCAGAAAACATTCCCTACATATGGGACTAAAAAGTGTCAACTCTAATAGGCAGGAAAGGGACAAGGATAAGCCATGTCCAAACAGACAGGTACTTGTGCCTGTTACCAGCTGATACGAATTTTTATCCTTCAGGGGAAAGTTTGTTTCTCACTTTTAGCACTACATTATGTTTAAAGTATCCAATTTTATAATATATGTGAAAAATGAATTACATGTTCATTTTTTATTCACCACATGGACACATCTCTATTTCTTATTATTCTACTTTTACTGCCTCAAGTTGGCCAGTTCCCTAAATTAATATTAAAGATCTGATAAAAACATTAAGTTTATGGAAAAAGCATTCTGAACTTTCTTCCCCAAAGAATGCTAGGATAAAAAGTGATTAAGAATTTCAAAACATCATTGGTGTAAAAAGTGACCTAATAGTCTGAGATATGATAGTTCTATTCACCTATTTACACAGATAACTTAGCAAGCACTGTTCATAAAAAAGAAAATTATTCCTTTGGAGAAAAAATTAATCCATGAAAGAGTAGCTTTCTTGTTCTTCCAACTGCTGGTATAATTAGAGTTGGTTCTAAGTCTGCCACTCCTTGTAAATTCTAGAGCCAAACTCTGTAATAGCCTTTCCATTTCAGAAAGCACCTCATTTAAAGTAGTTAGTGGGTTTTCACTGTCACACTCAGACCAGGCTAATTCATGTCAAAAAGTCTTGTCAAATGACATGATTAGTTAACCACAATGCCTACAAAAACCAGGTACATTCTGATATATCTCAATGAACACATATGCTGAATTACTAGTTGTACTTATAGTATATATTTTATATCTAAGTGAAGAACACCTACCTGTTAAGCATGTATTTATTACAGATTAAAGATATTTAGCATTTAAAAGAGACATGACAATTGAATCATATTGTCCTATTTTAATAAAATTATACTCAAAACAGGCTTTTCTTAGAAAGTTTTTGGAAATGTAATCTTACTACATAACTTAAAATTTTCTTTGTATATGTGAAACAGTATCCTATTTAGAAAAAAGAAACTTAAGACTGCTTTCTGACAAGTTACTGTAAATAAAACTATTATGAAAGAGTAAGAGCTGAAAGTGCATGCCTGTACCATGGCTGAGCTTATATACAATTTCCTCAATTATTTTACATTTGGTGACCGAATTTAGGAGAAAAAAAATAAGGATCCATGGCCTTATGAAACAGCCAAAACAACATGCACAAGGAGTTCTGAAATGTAGAAAAAAAGAAAACTGGTTATAAATAGAAAGCATACATCCTGTTTCTTGCTGTAGAGTTTTGTCTCAAACTATTAATCAACTTTTCACCACTTCCTGCAATAGCAGGTCTACTATAAATCTCATAGTAACTGACTAGGTTTCATTTCCTCTACCAAAGTCGGCCAACCCACAAGCCATGACAAACTGACACTGGAGTCAGCAACTGATAATGTAGCACAGGACACCAGTGAGGCAATTCAAGAAACATTCCATACTGGATGATGGAATACACTGACTTGACCTTTTAGTTTCAAAGGACACACACACACACACACACACACACACACACACACACACACACACACACACTCTCTCAGGTCCTATCTGGGAACAAACTTCTTTTTAAAGGGGATTGATGAAAATGACATATAGTCATAATTCCTCCCTATTGGAAAGAACCAGTTCCAAACTTCAAAATCCCTTGTCCAAAACACACTTATATAGCCTGGCCTAAAAGGTAATACTTTAAGTAGAAGCTGCTAGTGAAATTCTTCTCTGATAGTTGCCATGAAAAGTAAATACCAACTGATGTACAGATGAACACAGAATTGTCTGTCATTATTTTGTAATAGTGAAAACCATTTTCGGCCTAGTCATTAATAGAAACAATTGATCTCTTTGAACAAGAAACTATTATACTAATTTACTATAGAAAATACTGCAAGATTAAGAGTTGTTTAAGTCATATTAAGTTTGGGCCAATGAAATAACTTTTCACTCTATTTCCAACTTCACTTAATACCATTCTGTGGCGGGCCTGGGCTATGAAAAATAAAATCTAGTCCATGAATCAGTA